GCCGCGTCCGCGGGGTCAACTTCTTCGGCCATCTCATCATCTTCATATACATCAGCCTTTTGTTTGATCATCTTCTTCTTCTGATCTAGGATCAGCAGGTTTCCCCGCGCGTCCCGAGTGCCAGTCTCGAGCGGTTTTCCCATATCTGAATAGATTGGGCTATCTCACTGTCTGTTGCTTGCTCGTAGTCGGCTTCCGTCAACTGCCTCTTATGGCGTTTTATTAGGATCGGTGCAGTACCCTCGACCATCGCCATGAGACCACACCCAAGGCGCCCCCTTAAAGTTCGGGCTTCTCGATGGGCGTCTCACGGGGCAGCCGGGCCCGCGGTCTGCATATGCGGGGCACGTGCAACAAACACCTCTATGGAGCTCCCCCCCCTCGATGACAGCTCTCCTGCGGTCGCGCTTGACAATCTTATCTTGTGTTTTAACATGTCCAGTCCTTGTCGAGCGAATGATATTGCCGCCTTCACCTCGTCTAATATTGCGAAGGGAATGCCAGTGGCGGATCTGATGCTCAATGCAATCCTGGCCCCGCCAATACTGCATTGTTTCTGGGGGCATGCATTGACGAGCCAGCCCAGCTTCCGCGCAACCAACAAGGCGCTGAATTCCGCCATCTGGATGTTCTTCTTGCGGCTGATCATCTTGAGGCGGGCGCCCCCGCAAGCGCCCCCTCCTCGGGGGAGTGACAGGTCTATCGGCCTGCCATGGCGGGGCCTTTGGAGTTCCCGCGTCCGGGGGATGAGGGCGCTGAAGACCGCTAGAGCGAGCGCCACTGGAGCGGGCGCGCGCACGATCAAGTGAGCGACTGGGGAAACGACCCCGACGTATCATGCGGTCACTATCTTCCCATGATTCGTCCTCGTCGTCGTCGCGATACATTTTCCTCCAGATCTGGCGGCTTGCCGATCGCTTCTGGCGGCTCATGGACCGATCTGAAACAGCGAGAGTATATAAATTCTTCATTATGACCAAGCCCGCATTGAATGCGCCTAGATAAATCACTAGCGTCTCGCGGGTTCTCCCGCAGAGGATCATCATCAGCTAATTCCGTATCAGTATGATTTCCAAAAACCCGAAGGTAAATCATCAACTGTATTTCCTCGTCTGTTGCAGGAATGGTAACTTCTGGGTCCGCGGGTATCCCCGCCATGTCAGCATCTCCTTCGGCGGGCATGTGGAAGTTCTCGACCAACGCAAGATCTGCAGGTTGCCCCGCGATGGGCATGGCATGCCCAGCCAATCTGCCAAGTCGATGTTAACGTGGCCAGTGACCGCCTCCTCGAACAGCTCGCCGGCGAACTTCTCGAGGGTCATACTGGCGCTGAGATATCTGGCAGCCATGAAATTAACAACTGCGGCTGAGCTATCAGCACAGCTAAGAAATACCCCCAGTCAACATACTGCATGTCGGAATCTGTTCGGGCCAGATGTATTGACGGACCCCTGCCTCTGCCATCACCTTGTGGGCATTCGCGTCGGAAATGCTGTGCACTGTGGCATATGTCGCACTCCGTAGTTTTGCCGTCGGCATCCTTTGGGTTTCCCCGTCGTCCTTTGCCTTTTCCCGATGTATGCCTGCGATTTCTGCCTACGGAGGCCCAGTAAGATGCTAAGAATGCTAGTGTGCCTCTACCATGTAATCGCCGACGCTTACCTTTACCTTTGCTTCGACCTTTACCCTTTCCTTTGTATGATCGTCGTGCGATACGCCTTACATTCCGGACTGGTTTCTTCATGAACCTCCGCCAGCGACGCTTGTGTTTTTGGTAACCTAAAAATAACCATTGCGCATGTTGCTCTCCAGTAAGGTATGTAGGCATATCCGAGTGATCAACGGCTGTAGCTTCATCGTCTGAAGACGCATCGGTATCAGTACCGGAGTCGAAGTCGGACTCGGCGGGTTGCCCCGCTGAGCCCATTAGGGCCATGGCTTGCGTGGGGGATGCCGCATCAGGCGGCCCCCGAAGCCTGGCCCAGGAATCCTGCGACCCCGAAGCCGTTTCACCCTTCTGAGCCAGCAGTGTAGTGGTCTCAGTCGGTTGTGGACCATCATTCCAGACGTTGTTGGCAGGTTGCCCTGCGTTCGCCTCCACGTGGGAGGTCTCGGTTCGGTGACCGCGACTAGAGATACCGCCAATACTGCCGGGGGTTCTCTCAGCAATGTGAGCATATGACCCCATGCGTTCAAGTAAAGCGTCGAATTGTTGTTGGTCTCTCGGCATATGGTGGTTTAGAGGCTGCAGGAGTTGTTGTGCACGCGATGTCCCCACTCCAAGAACTCTGACTACAATCGCTGTTAGGATTTGGAAGTTGGGGATGTTGAGGCCGGCTGCTTCAGCTTCGTAGCGGGCTATATCAAAACGTGATAACGTCTGGTCGATGCGTTCCCCCGCATGGACTCGGAAGTCAATGAGAGCAGTACCAGAATTGAGTTGGCGCTCCTCTTCTAAATTCTCGAACTTCGTGCTTAAGAGGAACATGATATAGGCGACGCCGTCAGTATGGCGGCCACCTACGTTGACGCCAAAGTTGATAACTGCTGGAGGGACTCTCATGGCAATGGTCCGTGCGAGACCTCCCAAACCTCGCTGCAGAGCTGCAGCCTGTTGGGAGGGCGTCACATTGCTTGTGGTCGCGTTGATCCAGGCATGTACTTCGCAGACGAATTCGCGAAAAGGTACTTGACTGGCTGGGTCCCAGTGAGGGCCGGTCGTTCGCGTGTCGTCTCCGCCGCGGATATGTCCTACCACACACCCAATAGCGACCCAGATGAGCCCCAAAAAATAACACCAATCCCATGGCCTCGTAGGTCGTAGTCGGATGTAGTCGGTCGGGCCTTCCGTTGGGTAGTAGTAAGTCTGCGTGGGGTTGGAGGCGGCAGTATATCATATCGCATGTTTCCATGCAGTAACTCTTCGACGCAATTTCCAGTTGGAGTAGGTGGGTGGACTTCAGGGGTGTAGGGCGCAAGGATGTAGGATATAAGTAAGAGACCTCCGCTTGGGCAGAGGTATCGCTGCCAGCGTCCTTGCGATGTTGCGTAGCTATAAACATTCGCCCGCGCAGACCCACTGCACCCTGATGTTCCACCATATCCGTAGTCCACCAGATAGTGCCGTGGATGGTGAGGAGTAGAGCGAGAGCTGACCACCATAGGCCAGCTCTGCTACCAAGTTTGAAAAGGGGCTGGGAGGCCCAGCCAGCAGCTTCGCCTTAGGCGAAACCAAACTCCAGCTCTGTTGTACCGTAGAAACGATAGCCACAATAGGAGAGGATGTGACATCTGAAGCAATAGGAAGATCCTTTTGGTCTCGATAGCGACTGTGTGCCTCGCGGCGAGGCACAGTCATATTTGGGCGGCCGGCCGCTTGAGCCGACGCGGCCGCGGGCGCACGCTCGATTCCGCTCCTTACGTTCCTCAGCTCGCCTGAGTCCCCCAGCTCAAAAATGCTTCCGAAAGGGAGGGGGTGAGGGGGGTAGCTTCGGAAACTCCCCCCACCCCCTTTTCGAAGGAAGGGGGTGGGGGGCAGCTTGAAGCTGGGTCCCCCCTTTAGTATTGAGTTATGTACGGGTGCGCTCTTTCTAGATTCAGCTACAAAAAGAGTCCCTCGGGCAATCAACCACATAGGGATGCCTTTTATAATCTGCCACAAAGGAATTCTTCAGTAATCTGCCACCACAAAAAATCCATCGGTACCCCGCAACAAAAAGAATCCTGTTGCATTCTGGCCACAAGGAGGTTCCTTTTGCATTCCGCCGCCAAAAAAAAAACGTTTGTGTTCCACCGCAGGAGGATTCTTTTTGCAGTCGCACAGGAAGAATGCCTGAGTATTCTGCCGCAGAGGGAATAGTTCCCTACCGAGGCTCTGCCTAGAAGGGTTCTTACTGTCTTGGCTTCAAGGGGCCGGGCAGTGGAACTCGCCCCAGGCGGTTCCCCCAGGATCCGCCCCGCGGTTCCCCCAGCTACGTCCTCATAGCTTCGCGTTGCTTATCTCATCTTAGCTTAGTCTAGCCTATCTTGGCTTAGCTTAGCCTAACCTAGTTTAGCTTAGCTTAGCTAGGCCTAGTTTAACTTAGCTTAGCCTAACCTAGCTTAGCTTAGCTTAGCTTAGCCCGGCTCGGCTCATCGCAGCATTATCATACCATAGCATAACCGAACATAGCATATCCTATCATAGCATAGGATAGCGCAGCATAGCATAGCTCAACACCGCATATCATTAACATCGCACAGCATAGCATAGCATAGTATAGCATAGCATAGCACAGCGCATCATAGCATAGCACATTATAGCATAGCATATGTGTGTCTGTGCGCAGGCAAAGCAAACACAAAATCAAGCAACAGCAAAAGCAAAAGCAAATCAAAAGCAAAGGCAACGCAATGAAAAGCAACATCAAAATCAATGCGAAAGTGTAGATGTAGATGTAGATGTAGATGTAGATGTTGATGTAGGTGTAGATGTAGATGCATATGTAGGTGTAGATGTAGGTGTTGATTCAAATGTAGATGTGAGTCTCGCTGTTGATGTTGATGTAGATGTAGATGCAGGTGTACATGTTAATGTAGCTGCCAGTGTAGATGTAGATGTTGCTTTCCTAGATGCTCCAACTCCTAGGTAGGGTCGCACTGGGATAATTGTGTATTCCGCCACAACGGGATATATTTGTACTCCACCGCACAAGAATTATTTTGCAATCCGGATCGATATTCCGTCGTCACATGATTTGGTGGATTACACATGCAATCCGTTTATGGTGGAATACAAAACGATTCATGCGAGTGGAATGGAAAGAAGTTTCTCTTTGAGTCGAAAACACATTGTTTTCCTGCGTGGCGAATTACAAACAGATATCGTTCACTGCTTCGTTGGATAAAAAAAGCTCAAGCCGCCCAGGCCTGTATCGTGCCTGGCGCCCCTCCTCCTCCTCCTCCTCCTCCTCGTCCTCCTCCCTCCCAGGGTCGGCGGGCGCTACCAATCACCAGCAATCCTTCTTCGGAGCGGCCTCCTTCTTCGGCGCCGCCTCCTTCTTGGCAACCGCCTCCTCGAGGAGGGAATGGTAAAGTGAAGAGGGAAGGAGATGGAGGAAGAGCACTAGGTAGGACGGAGAAAGGACCTGCCCCCAAGAAGCCCCCAGGAAGCGCCTAAGAAGGCCCAACAGGCCCCCCAGATGCACCCCAACAGCCCTCCAAGAGGCCCCTGAAAGGCATCCCATGAGCCCTTCAGATGCATCCAAGAAGCTCCTGACCCACCGAATACCTTCCAAGATCGTTGCAAGCATTCGCTCTTTCTGTGGGGTCGGCAGAATGGCGCAAGCCACTAGAATATGTACACCCAGCATGCGCCACTGATGACGCAATAAGCCTCTTGCCAGCAGTCCGCTCACCATCAGTCAACACAACACGACACAACATAACTGCTTCCAAAGCAATGCTCGCGCTTAGGTGCTCTTAATTCTCTCCTGAGGTAACTGGGCCCCAATGTCGGCCCAGCCGGCTTGTGACGCCCGTCGCCGCCCGTCGCCGCCGTCGGTCGCCGCCACTTGCACTGGGCCCTGGTGTCAGTCTGGCTTGTGGCCGCCAGTTGCCGCCCGTCGCCGCCGTCCGTCGTCGTCACCCTGTTGCCCGGATGGGCACACACTCCTCTCTCCAGGAGCTCGAAACCATCCCTCGCCTTCCCCAAACAGTGCTGCAGTGCTTGGCATTGATTTGCATTGCTTTGCATTGCTTCGCATTGCTTTGCATCGCATTGCGTTGCTGTGTATCGCTGCGCATTGCTTTACATTGATTTACATGTATTTGCATGGTGTTGTATTGGTTCGGACTGCTTTGCATTGCGTTCAATTGTTTCGCATTGCTTTGCATTGTTCTGCATAGCTTCGCATTGCAACGCATTGCAATTAACTAATTGCTTCCCATTGAAATGCATCGCGTTGCATTGCTTCGCGCTGGTTTACACTGTGTTTCATTGCTTCGCGTTGCCGTGCATTGCTTTGCACTGCTTCGCACCAAATAGACTGCACCACATGGATTGTACCACTGAGGTTGCACCACATTGATTGCACAACCTACACCCTGCGAGATGCTTAAGAAATCATGGGTTAAGAAATTAACAGTCTCAGAATTTGAATAAAAACCCAGAAATCCTTTCGAAATCTTAGGATTTACATTGAAACGTTAAGAATCATCGAGACTCTGGCCGAAAACTTAAGTTTTCTTAAGCATCGCCTAAGGTGTAGATTGCACCGCGTACTTTGCAAGAAGTCGCTGATCGGGGCCCACGCTGGCGACCGTGTGCTTCTATCCGCCACCGTGCCCTGAGGCACGAGCTGGAGTGTCATAAGGTAGGGCGACGAGATCTATACATATCCACTGCTCCTGGCCAAGCCCATCCTGGGTCCAGGAGCGGTGTATATGTCCCCCTGGCTAGGCCACGAGGGCGTATGCACCGCTCCCGGGCCCAGGATGGGCCTGGCCAGGAGCAGTGGATATGTATAGATCTCGTAGCCCTATAAGGTCCCTTCGAGTTCTCTGCACTGAGTTCTGTAAATATTCTCAGGGGGCCCACGGCCTGGAGTTCCTGGGGCTACCGGGCGCTCTTGAGCGCTCTTGGGGGGGTCCCTTGTGACTTTTCGAGAGACCAAGAGCGCGCTGTTCGGGACACGTATGTCCAACATGGATTCAGATGGCCTCAAGGGCAATCCTGGAGCCCTCTTGGGCGCCCGTTGGTGATTGTGGAAAGTTGTCGCATTACCGCCTTTCCGGCCTCCAGAGTTTCCAAGACGGCCCTAGAGGCGCCCAAGATCGCCCCAAAACAACCCAAAAGCCCTCAAGAGGGGCCCAAGAGACCCCCAACACGGCCCCAATAGAGGCCTAAGATGGAGAACGCGAACTGACAGTTTGAGCCCTCCGCCTCAAGATGGCCCCAAGATCCCCCCAGGGTGCGCCACATAGGCCCCACGAGGCACAAGTCAAGCCCCAAGAGGTCCGCAAGACGTAGCAAGACATCCCAAAACCGCCTCCAAGAAGCATCCGAGAGGCTGCTTCAAAAGAGATCCTGACAAACATCCAGGAGGCCTCTGACCAACAACCCAAGGACCGTGGCGGGATGGGCCGAAGGCATTATATATATATATAGAGCATCATTACTAAAGAGAAGCGCCCGCTGAAAATATGACGGCTCCGTGGGCGTGCACGATGGATACCCAAATGTCTCACCCACACACTCACACGCGCGCACAGTACGCGCACAGACACACACAGACGCGCCCCACATCGCGTACTCTGGGGGGGGAAGGAGGAGGAAGATGAGGAGGAGGAAGAGGAGGAGGAGGAGGAGGAGGAGGAGGAGGAGGAGGAGGAGGAGGAGGAGGAGGAGGAGGAGGAGGAGAGGGGGAGGAGGAGGAGGGGGAGGAGGAGGAGGAGGAGCCCAGACAGACGCGCTCCTCCACTGGAAATGTTTCTTTTCAGCCCCACGTCGCGCACTCTGCGCCCGTGCCCCCTCAGCGCCCCCCCTCGCCCGGCGTCGGGCCCCGGGCTCCGGGGGGAAGCGCGACCCCCAGGCGGCCCCCGTCTAAGATAACCAGCGCCGGCGTGCCACCTCCTCCTCCTCCTCCTCCTCCTCCTCCTCCTCCTCCTCCTCCTCCTCCTCCTCCCCTCCTCCTCCTCCTCCCCCTCCTCCTCCTCCTCCTCCTCCTCCTCGTCCTCCTCCTCCTCCTCCGCCCTGGGGGGACGCCCAGAGCCCAGACTTCCGATACTCAATTGGGAGATGGGGAAGGGGAATGCCCGGCGCGACCCTAATCAGGGGTGCCCCCCCTCCTCGTCGCCCATGTCGCACGGGGAAAGTCTTGCGAGGAGGGCGCGAGGGGGAAGGGGGGAGAGGGGGAAGGAGGTGGCAAGGGCCAGAGAGGACAGGGGGGGGGAGGGGGAGGGCGCGGGCGACAAGGCAGGCCACGAATGGCCCGCCCCATCGCCGGGCGACACGTGGCGCGCCGCCCCATGCCAAAAATGGCGAGGTCCTATACCCACGGAAAAAAATATGAGGAAGAGGTGTCCGGGTGTCCGACGCGATCCCGAAAGGCAGGACTGACTCTGTCTGCGAACTGATCGAATGCCGTGAGCTGTTGGACACAAGCCGCATATGTCCCAGGAGGCCACTGTGAAAGAAGCTGAGGAAATTTTGATGACATGCGTTTATCATGAGGTTCTGCTTGTCGGCGAAATAATCCTGGGCCTCCCCCATCCTTCCCCCTCCTCGCGCCAGTGGCGTGCTCCCTCCTCCCTCCCACCGTGGCTCCTCCTCTTTCTTCTCCGCCCCCCAGCCCTCTGATGTTTCCCCCCTCCTCCCCCTTCTACGGATAGTCCTCGGCATCTCCACCCGACAAAGCAAACAAGGCCCGGAAGCGCACTGCGCGGGGCGAAACCAGACATAATGAAAAGCGGGCTCCTGGAGGGTCTACGTGAAGCACTGAGCGACGCAACTTTCGCCGCATGTGTGCTGAGCCCTCTACTGCTTTGATGTTGTGATGTCGTGCTGCACGCGCTGCAGGTGTTTATTTGCTCGTTGCTGCGATGTGGTTGCAAGTTCCTTCAGGTGAATATGGCCCGCGGCTTTTTCAAACAATCTGGGAGCAATCTTGGACCGCCCAGGGCCGCCGTTGGCCGTTTCTTAAATCTCTGAGGTTGCGGGAGGGGCACGGTCGGGGTTATGCTTGCTATCTTCGGGGGAAGGGCCCGAAAGTTCTTTCGATGTCCATTTGTGGCGCGCGTTTGGAAGCCTTCTTGATTGCTGCCACAGGCGCCCTGGAGGCCCCCTGGGCCTCGTCGGAGCGCCCCGGGGACAATGTTCACAGTTGCGGGGCCGTCTTGGTGGTCCTCTTAGAGCATCTTGGGTACTGTTTGGGGCCTCTGTTTGGGGCCTCTTGGGGCCTCTCGAAAGCTCTTGGGGCTTCCTGGGAGTTCCATGAAGCCTCTTAGGGGCCTCGTGTGGGCGTGTTGTGAGCATCTTGGGTGTTCTGGCGTGCCTCTTGGGGCCTCGTGGGTGTCTTGAAAGTATATGGGGGCCTGTTGGGACCTCTTGGGAAGTTTTTGGGGGGCCTCTTGGAATTTTTTGGAGTCGTTTGGGGGGCCTGTTTGGGCCTGGCTGGGGCCTTTTGGAACCATCTTGAAGCCTCAGCAGCTCATCGGAAGCGACGAGGCGAGAAGGCAAACAAATACGATGTTCCAATTGTTTTCTGCTGTTTTTCGTGACTCCGCAACCTCTTCGAATGCCTCTCGGGGCGCTCTGGGGCCCTTGGGGGCCGCTTTTGAAGCGCCCGTCGGACCCTGTGGGCGCGTCAAGGGGGCGGATTGGGTATTCTGAAGCCGTCGTGGAAACTTTCCGACAGTTTTGAGCGGCGGGGGGGAGGGCCAGACGGCCCGGGAGGGAGTCCAGACTGTCGCGGGCCAAAAGGGGGGGAATCTGGGAGGGTGTCCCGGCCCGGGGCCCGGGCCCCCAGTACCCCAGCATATGATATATAATATATGACATATAATATATAATATATGCTATATGATTTATGATATATGATATATGACATATGTATATATATATATATATGTACTAGAACCACGCGCGCGCTACGCGCGCTTAGGTTCTAGTCGCCGATGAGCCACGGGTGCCGCTGTAAGCCCCGCTGTGGCCACAACGACGATTTCGAGCGCCTTGCCGTCGACGCAAAGAAACGCGTAGTCCGAACACGGGGCACCATGCTCCCGTGTGTCTCACAATCTCGCTGCCACTCTTGTGTGGTTGAACGAACTGCGTTTTTTCTCTCCAGTTTTACTTCCGCTCTGCCCCGTCGTGACATTCAATGGTTTTGCACATCTGTTCGGTCTCCCCATGCCCGATTACGCAGACATCCGCCGGCTCCTGATGTTGGGGTTGGTTCGGGGCCTCGTTGCGCGCGCGTGGGAACGCGTTGCTTTTTATTCCTCTTCCTTGTGCTCCAGGTTTCTCTCTTTCAGCGGTCGTTCAGCTGTGGGGTATCTGCAAAAAGGACGCGCG